CATAACAATCAATAATACTTACTTTTTCATTTCTGTTATAAAACAATTTTAAATCTTTAGTTAAGCATAAATATTTCAAAATTCGTACAGCATATTTAAAGTGCGTTTCATTATAGCAATTTTGAAATCTACTCAGATAATTTACGCTGAAACTTATATCAGGCCTTGTTGCCGAACTTATGTATAATAGTGCACCAATTAAATTTTTATATTTAATATTTCTTTCACAATGATCAGATTTATCAATTTTTAAATTTACTTCCATAGGTGTATTATACAGTTTACCTTTTCTAAATTATATTTTTTCCTTAATAATTCAATATATTTATTTTGATCCAATCTCATTTCATGTTTACTAGAATCATAATCAACAGTAATACCAAGATATTCTTTAATTTCACCAATATCTTTCATTTTAAATTTTTCTGATAATAAAATTTTAATCCTTTTAATTTCATTTAAATTTCTACCACAAATCAATAAATCATCGACATAAATTAATAAGTAAATAATATCATTTCCAATTTTATAAACGTACAAACAAGGATCAATATTACTTCTTTCAAAACCTAAATTTATCAAAAATGTATCTAGGCACTCATACCATGCCCTTGGACTTTCTTTTAAACCATATAAAGCTTTAACTAATTTACAAACTTTACTTGTTCCATCTTCATAACCCTTAGGTTGTTTAATATAAACTTCAGAAATTACTTTACCATTTAAAAAGGCTGTTTCAACATCCATTTGTTCAATTACTAGGCCCATTTGACAACAATATGACAATAAAATCTTTAATGTTTGCATTTTAGCCACAGGTGAATAAATATCATCAATTTCATCAGTTTGTTGAAAACCTCGTACAACCAATCTAGCTTTATAAGTATTATCAGACTTTTTAGTATAAACCCATTTAACATCCAGAATATTTTTGTTTGTATCATTTTTAACCAATTTCCAAGTTTTACTTTTATTTAAACTATCAATTTCTTTGTCCATAGCTGTTTTCCAATACTTACTTTCATTAGAATTTATCGCCTCCTCAAATGTATGTGGTATATCAGTTCTACACATATTTACAAAAATACTACTATTATATACATAGTAGTCATCAAATTTCTTTGGAGGATTTTTGGCTCTGTGAGATCTAGGTAACTCAGGTTCATTTTTATTCACACTATCATCCATACTTTCATTTGTACTTTCAAAAGTTTCATCTATTGAGTCATTTTCAGAGCTTTCATCAATTTTATCAGGGTAACACTCTTCATTATTATCATTATCTGATTCGTTAAAGTCTAAACCTATACACTTAACGTTTTCTTCAACAATATCCACGTGTCTAGCAACAATGACTCTGCCATTTAATAATACACGATAACCAACATTACTATAACCAATTAAAATTCCCATATCAGCTTTCTTATCCCATTTAGAGATTCTCTTCTGTTCTGGTCTTCGTACAAAAACTTTACTTCCATACAAACGCAAATTAGAAACATCAGGTTTCTGTCCAAAAAATATTTCATATGGAGTTTTCTTTTCAATTGTATCAGATAAAGTACGATTTTTCAAATAAACCGCAGCACAAACTATTTCAGGCCAATATTTTTTATGAATATCTGCTTCAGCCAACAAACATCTTGACATATCCATTATAGTTCGATTAAACCGTTCTGCAGTCCCATTCAATTCATGTACATATGTAGGACAATTATCAATTACTATACCCCTTTCTTTTGCAAATCTGTAGACTTTACTGTTCAAATATTCTTTCCCATTATCACATCTTAAAATCTTTATTTTCTTTCCAGTCAAATTTTCACTTTCATTCGTATATTCATTCAAACAATCACATACTTCTGCTTTTGATTTTATAGCATATACTTTAGAAATCTTACTATAATCATCAATGAAAGAAACAAAATAATTTTCACCTTTAAACCCAGTAGTTCGAAAAGGCCCACAAACATCAGTATGTACAATCTCTAAAATATCTTTAGCTTTTTTTCTACTGTTTACAAACGGAATATTATGCATTTTACTTTCAATACAAATCTTACATTTCATAAATTCAGATTCAAACTCATTAGGAATTCCATTCAACAGCTGATCTTTAGATAAAATATTCAAATATTTAAAATTTACATGACCTAATAAACGATGCCATTTTTCCTTTTGATTCATATTATTCATATCTTTATTTGCAACATTTACATGCAATTCAACTGATTTTAATTTACTTTTCATAATATATAAGCCATTATTTTTTAAAGCAACTGCTGTTATATTACCAAGTTTATCAAAAACTTTTGAAATATTACCTAGAGAAATAATCTTATTATTTTCTGTTATTTTGCTATAACTTATCAAATTTGATTTCATATCTTTAACATAGAAAACATTTTGCATATCTACTAAACTCTTTTTACCAAAAGCATCAAAGTAACTTAAAACATTTCCAATTTTAGTAGCTTTTACAACCCTATTATCTCCTAAATAAACATTAATGGGATCTTTAAGTAATTTACATTTATCAAATAATTTTTCATCATTAATAATGTGGTCTGTACAACCACTATCTAAAAGCCATTTTATTTCAATACAATTATTTACATTACCTATTTCAGTATTTTGTGCAATAACTGACATATCCTTACCAAGAGCTACTGTTGTAAGCCAAGAAGCACTGTTTCGCTCTTCGTTCTTCTGTCCTTGTCGGTTGAACCGCTGTGCACTTGTTCCATGCGTTCCGCGCTGTCCACGTGAGTGGCCACGTCCTCTGACGTAGCTTCCTCTTCCGGCTTCTTGTCGACCTCGCGTTTCTCTCCACCAGCCTCTACTGCTTGTCGTTTGTCCGCCATTACCCGACGCTTGATTGGCGCCATTTTTGCAATCTCGCTTGAAATGACCAACTTCGCCACACTGGAAGCATGATCGATCCTGTCGACCTTTATTTACCACAAATGTACTGGATTTTCTTCCAAAATCATTGTTTTGATTTTTTAATTCGGACATCATAACCTTAGTTTTTACGTAGTCTGCAGTTTGATCATCTTCTTTTAATGTATCTATTAAATCACCAATATAACTGTACGACTCTGGCAACGTGTTTAACATATAGTTCAATTTTTCCTTTTCAGACACACTAGCACCCGCGCTTTTTAACTCGTTTATAGCTTTTTCGAAGTCACTAAAAAATGTTGCACAGTCTCCATAGTTGTTCAATTTTAATCTTTCCAAGTTATTTCTACATACTATCTGCAATGCCGTTGATTCTTTCAAATATAAATTATCAAATTTCTTTATCATCTCATACGCCGTAGTTTTTTCGTCGATGTACTCCATCTGTCGATCCGATATTGCACCGCATATATAATTCATTGCTTTTACATCATCGTCATCCCAATTTGTATCATCATTTTCATTTTTCGGTCTGGTTACCACAACATCACACTTCTTCATTTTCAAAAATAGCATAAGACGTTTTTTCCACATTTTATAATTCTCCCCATCGAATATAGGTATTCTAAAATCACTACTACCTGCCATCATGTGTCACACTTTTTTTTCAAACTGCACCAAACTTTTTCTGTTGTAAAAGGTACGACTTTCCAACCACGGACCTCTGCTACCATGTTAAGGTGTGGATTTGGAAAATAAATAGTCGTACTTTACTACTATTATAAAAGGCTTTATTTCCTATAACATACATACTAATTAACTAACCTAACTTAAGCCACCATACTTCTTACTACCACCTACAACTACATGATACTCATTGACATTACTATTATTGTCTGTCATGTCAACCCATGACACTATGGGTGCGTTCCGCTTACTCTTACACCAATATATCTGTGTATACAATATAAATGTATTACATTCTCAACATATACCATTTTACAAAAGAAGTTTTTGCTTCATTGTCAGCTTTTTTTAAACCAACAGCCAATCTTACTAATCTTACTATTGACAACGTTCATCTTAAAAATGTAGGTCACTGTACATGTCTTGGACACACATGAGCTATCATGTCGAGTTTCCAAAATTTTTCTTGTCTTATAGTGTTTTACCAACTGTCAATTGAAAATTGTAATATTGAGTCATAGAGTAAATCTAATTCATAAAATTTTCCACAATTTGCCATGCCAAAAATGCCAACACGTGCCTATTAGTACAGTTAAAAATATTTCACGATAAACGTACCAAACGCGACATTTGCTTGATTTCAATATCTACTGTTTGTGTCAAGGAAAAAATTATATTGTATAAAATTTCATTTTTGTATTCATTTATGTTTACATATCACTATTTTGTTCTTGTCTCAGCACGTTTTCGTTGATTTTTCTAATAATTTTCATTTCTCCGTTTTATTCCATGTCTATTTTGTTTTGTTTCAATGTTAAATGCCCATATTTTGTTTAATTTAACATTTACTTCAATGTTGACTTTTGTTTTAGATCGAAAAATATTTCTGACCGTATTTTTTTAGAACTGTTAATAACAACATTTATCTACCTTTTTGTACAAATTTCATCTTTCATCGATCTCAACTGGATTTAAATGAACGAAACATTTCCATGCAATTGCATGTATTGCAATAATTGATCTCTCGATTATATCATTACTGCGATGACCTTGTAGATTTTCCTATCAACGCTGTTGTAGAAATAATTGCTGGTGAACGGATTGTAAATTTAATGCTCCTATTATTTCACAATAAACGTTGTGCCATTCGACCTTCTTTACAAGTCTTAATTGATTGCCAAATAAGAATGCGTTCGAAAGTATTCGCAAAGATTCGTACATATTTCCATAATATATTACTTTTTAGAGACACCAAAATAGTTCTCTTAATAATCCATTTAAAGTGATTTATTGTAAAAAACACTGCCAGGTTATTTATTATTATAAAAAAGTAAATATTTATATTTCGAAAAAATATAATTTTTAAAAATTTGTAGCGTGAATCCTTGCCAAAAATTACAGACCCAAAAATGTGTGAGGTAGCTACTGTGCGTTTGCCAAGATAAAGAAACGCGAAACTATTTTATCAAAATTAGTTTCGGTTTAATCTTAATCTTGACAAAATTCAAAATAAAAAGGGAATGGCAAACAATTAGCAAAGTACTTAATCAGGAAAATACTGAGAGTGTTATGATTTCAACTACATTTGTAGTATTTTCTTTATTATACAAGTGGTACAGCTGTTTTAGCCAATATGTAAATATACTAATATGTAATATGTAGTAAATAATTTTTACGACATTTTTATTTTCTAATTTATTGCGTAAATTGCACTAAATGTATAACTGTTTAATCCCATACAACAATATCTACGTCAATGCATATTTTTGAGGTTTATGACGTCCACGACAATTTTACGAAACAATAAATAATACAGAAAACAGTAGACAAGGTTTACGCAATTGAAACATTTGTTTTTTATTAGAATTTATGGTTATATTGGTCTATATTCTATAACGAAACAATGTTATTGATAGCAGTCAAGATTAACGCCCAAACCGAAAGAATTACAATAGATTAATAAATAAAATCTCCAATATTTTATTCAAATTATTTTATTGCTCTCTTAAGACAGATACTTGAGGACTTATAAATATAATAGTTGTCAGAAGAAAACTGAAGTATTTATGGTATCATTAATCTCTACAGTATTTAAAAAATGCACTCGATCTATGTATGAACATTTTTAAAAGCAACAATGTTTTACCGGACTCACGAATCCTGATGTTCAGCTTTAATATCATAGTGTTGTCAAGTAGCTGGGGTACCTTAACATTCACGTGGCAATAGAGCCTACCTTCGTGGTTCTGATTGTGTTTAGATATAGTCTTTCTAACGATATCAATCACCAAGTATTTTTGATTGTCACTGTTCAACGAACATCAAAGATATTCCTTGATAGCTTGTTTTAGAAACTTGGATTATCTGTATGTTCCTTTCGCTGGTACAACGCTGTAGTTATATGCCATAACTACAATAAACTTTAGGATTTGATTGTAGTGCATCTACTTATTATGGATGGATAATTTTGAGTCACGTCCAAAGCCACCAATACATCTTTCTATATCTGATTCCGAGCTCTTGCCTTTTCTTTTTAACGTACTGTCCAGCTCAGTCTTTAATCAAGATTGAAACCCAGTATTCTTGTGGAACCTGGAATCCTTTACTTGACTCTCCATTCTTTAGTCCATCTGGTGATATGATCTAAGAAGTTCTGAAGATGATGAATGAAGCACTGCCTCTTCAAAATTATTTCCAAGATAATAGCTGTGCCATCAGCGAACGTGGCAATTAGTATCTTGATTTAGCTTAGGGGATCTTGGTCTTATACCTTCTTGAATAAGGTTTTATTTTCCATGATCACACACATTAATAAGTTGTCCTCTAGATTACGAATATTATTGCAATCTTAGATGTCTCTTTCCAGAATTTTTCCCTCTCTGTTACATATCCATTTTTTTATGAAAAAGACCATTTTAGTTTTTTATCACTTACTTTAGTTATTAAAAATGCTACATCTTACATGTTTTTCATTTTAACGTTTTAATTTTCCAAATCTTGCCATTGAATCAAAATAAAAATTTTAGAAGACTTCAAGAATTGGCGCAGTCAAGGAAAAACTTATGATAACTTACGTTGTGGAAAATTATGTACCTGAAAGATTTCTTTTATTTGTTTCAAGAATACTTAAAAAGCACAATAGGCTAAGTTGCTAGATTAATATATCGGAAGCAAATTTAAATACAGTTACGTTTCCTTTCTCCATTTTTTACTTCATGAAATTTGATTTTATATTTTTCTTTACAGTACCTGGACATCGGGGAGGATATGAACGTTCCTGATGACTTCACTCAGAAGGAAATGCAAACTGGTATGTGGTGGAGGCATTTAGCTGCTGGTGGAGTTGCTGGAGCGGTATCTAGAACTTGTACGGCGCCCTTAGATAGACTAAAAGTATTTCTGCAGGTAAGAACCATTAGAATCTTTATTTAGTGACCATATAATATATTTTTTATATTCTTTCTTTTCTATTTTTTCTTTACATTCATTGCCATTATCATATTTATATAGATTATAGTGTGTTCTTCTTCGTTTTTATTATTTCATCGATTCCTTAATCTGAATCTTCTGTATATGTATTCCGCATAGGGTCGTCTCCTGCTCAGACAAAAGCTCTTTTGAATATATCCTACCTCTATGTGACTCATGCTCACTCGCTGGACATGTTTCGGTGCGTGTCGAACTTGTGTGCTTGGGGAGTGAGAGCACTCCACAAGTATCCCCCTAGTATCATACAGTTCTTTTATATAATATTCATATATTACGTAATTTTTATCTTAATCATCTTTTTAGGTAAACCCTAGCAGACAAAAAATAGCTGATTGTTTTAACAATATGCTGAAAGAAGGCGGCGTGAAAGGTTTATGGAGAGGAAACGGAATCAACGTGTTGAAAATTGCCCCGGAATCTGCTATCAAGTTTGCGGCGTACGAGCAGGTGAAAAGACTGATCAAAGGCGATTCTCAGCATGCGTTGAGCATTTATGAAAGGTAAGTTTTCGTTTAAGGCATTGCTAATCCTATATATGTACCTTTCTTGACTCTTTTCTTAACTATACTCTGTTTTTTAACCAGGAGGAGTAAACCAAAAAGACAGATTCACACCCAAGAAACTTACTAGAAAAGTCACCAAAATACATCTTCTTGTTTTGTTGATTATCTCGGCCTTGCGGTAATCGAGTAATCAATATCGGACAACCTTCCACGTCAATTCTAACCCAACTTTGTTAATTTATGTTTGAATTATAATTTTTTTTAATTCACTTCCAATAGATATTACAATTATTACAATAAAAAAAGGACGTTTTCACATTTTTCACATTCATCTAAGTTTGGTTTTTCACATAATTGTCTTATTGCAAGTAGTCTAATAGGCACAACTTGCATGCTATCAAAAAGTTAGAGACAGTTCAAAGATTTCTGAAATACTGTTCTTTTAAACTGCGTAGACCATATTTTTATTCTGATGTGATTAATTTCTTGAATATAGGTTTTTTTTTCTTACCAGAAGAGTTAACTTTGACTTTGATCATTATTTTTAAGCCTAATAATCCAATCTCCTGAATTGCTTCAGGCAATTTGTTTTACATACTCCTTCCCGTTCACTGCTTTAAAATTCACTTTTTCATATTTCCCATCACAGAATAAATTATGGTTCAAATATAGGTGTGGTATTTTGGTAATCAGTTATCTCATTAGATAGATTTGTTTAACTTATGTATCAATATCTTTAGGTTCTATTTGAAGCACTATAATGCAAAAAGATACTTTGTATAAATAAGAAGTGTGTACTTCTAATTTTTTTAATGCTGGATTCTTGAGTTTGTAACATTCGTTATTAATAAATAAAATTGACTAAAATTAACAAATTCAATCTATTATGTTACATTCAAAGCATAATTGTGCAGTTTTCTTATGATTATCTACAACCTGGAAGAACAAAACCAACTGCATCAATGCAATCAAACTAAAACACAATATTACTTTACTAAGTTTTTTTATTGGGATGAAAACAAATGAAAATGCTTCTTAACAATACTTTAAACAATATTTAGTATAAATATCATCTAGAAAAATATCACATTAAATAATATTCGCATATCACCGGTCTGCTTATATTCTTTAATTGTTTGGTTAATAGTTGAATTCGCAACACCTAAAATTAGCACATTACTTTAGTAAGTTTTGATTTTAATAATAACTATTCTGCAAAACTAACCTGCTGCCTGTTTTACTTTTGCTACAGTGGCTGTTATTTTCAATCCAGAATTATCAATTTTCATTTTTTTATACATGTTTATAAAACATTGTTTCTTATTTGTTGATAAATGACCCAAATCTACTCGGCGTTTTTAAGGTGGAGAAGAATAATTACCACTAGTACTTGGCATTGAATCCATATTGTTATCTTAATAACACTAAATAGTTCTGAAAAGAACTGTTCTTTATATAAATGCAAACGAAAAATCTATGAATGTAAGGAATAACGCAGAAAATACAAAAAATCGTCGATATAAATTTTGAATTTTAAAATTTGACAAATGTCATTAGTGTCAATATGTCATAATTTAGTGGAGTAAACTTGCCGGCGGTTGGACCAATTACAAACAAGAATTACGGCGCGGAAAATTTGAATTGCTCCTCCTGGTTAAAAAACAGACCATAGTTTGTTAGTTTTTTGCTTTTGTATTCGTTGCAGATTCTTTTAGTAAATTCCATTTAACTTTATGTTAAAAAAGCTTATCTTTTTTCTCGGTGATTAATAATATTTGCTTTTTCAGATTTTGTGCTGGTGCTCTAGCCGGTGGTATTAGTCAGACGGCCATTTATCCACTAGAAGTACTCAAAACTAGATTAGCATTAAGAAAAACTGGCCAGTACAAGAGTATAGCAGACGCAGCTTACAAGATTTACATAACCGAAGGATCTATGAGCTTTTATAGGGGCTACATTCCAAATATATTAGGTGAGTGTATATTTTTTTCCTCACAAACTGTTCCTTTTATAGCAAATTAACTGTTATACTAGAATTAATAGTAGAGAAAATAAAATTGGCTGTATGTATATGACTACAGTAGGGTTGTCGACTACAGTAAGATTGTACATTTTATTTAACTATACTATTTTTAAAATAACAATGAATTGAGTATTAAAGGCAAACAAAGCTAAGTTTTGCACTAAATATACCTCAGAATACAGAAAAAAATGCTAATAAAGCTTGTGGACAGACAAAATATGAAATTGGAAAAGGAGAAGAATATAGTAGTTAGCGCAAAAGTTTGTACGGTACATTTTGTGAGATCATGGCAAAATTGACTAAAATACTAAATGAAGTAACATCATCAAACACCACAAGAATTAATTAAAAATTGTTGTCCTCATAATATGGAGAAGAAAAAAGACTTACTAAAAAAAGAAGGAGGAACTACTCTGTTTTCATCTTGATTTAATTCGTATTTTTTCAAAATCCCAAAATTAATTCAACTAATCCAAATTTGTTTTAGGTATTATTCCATATGCTGGTATCGACCTTGCCGTGTATGAGACATTAAAAAAGAAGTATTTCATGACGCATTCGAGTAACGAACAGCCCAGTTTTTGGATGCTTCTTGCTTGCGGTAGCGCCAGCAGCACCTTGGGTCAAATGTGTTCCTATCCTTTGGCGCTGGTTAGAACGAGATTACAAGCACAAGGTAAATATATACATCTTAGTAACATTGCTATACCCTTTAGCAACAATTCTCGCGGTCGCAAGTCTGTTTGAATAGCAGATGATACTAACGAATCCTTAGCAGTAACTATCATCGAGAAGAAACATCACTGAATGAATGTCCAGTTTCAAAAACCGTCATTTAGCGCAGCTCACTGTAAATAATGTTTGCTATAGATCTAAATTAAGGATCTTAAAAGCACGAGAACATTCATTATCATAAGATAAGATTGGTGTTTTAGGTAGTAACTAACTTTACTATAATTTGTCGTCCTTTGACAAAAAAATTGTTTCCGGTGAAATCCGACTGGAAGGACCCATGTATAAAAGCTACAGACAATGTCTAAATTCGTATGTAACCTCAAGACCATAGAATATACAGATACGTGTACGACTTTTTTTAACAACTAGCGACTTTAACTGCTAAGAATATTGAAGAGCGATTAAATCAACGTATGACATCTTATTGAAAGTTTTTGTCTCTAAATGCTTCTGGAAGTTACCGAAGTTCTTTTTAACCGATTTTATTTTTTGAAAGTAATTTGACAAGACTGTTTGCTCTCTTATACGCAAAAAATCTGATATTTATAGACAGCAGTTTTACTCTATGCATTTTGGTAACGTAGATTAAAAAAAAAATTTGAACTGCTGAATCATATGCAAATTATAGTTTAAAACAACATCTTAAGTTCGATTCATTACAATAAACCCTAAACAAAATCTGTCTGGGCTATCAACAATATTAGTCGGGATAAAATATGGAACCAAGTAAATGTTTTTGAAGCCAAACAGACGATATTGATGAAACTTTGCATGCAGGTACATTATATATGAATCGGTTATTTATGAAAGGCCTCATGTCACTTTTTTTCAAATTTTCGTTTAACTTAGAAAATGATAACCCATATGTTCACACATCGTTTGCTTATGAAAAGCCTCATGTCTTGTTATTCCTTTATCAGATATATTAGTTTAAAATTATTGTTTATTTATGAAAAGCCTCGTGTCAGTGACAAGGGGCTTTTCATAAATAAAAGCACTGTTGGCAACATTGCGCTGTCGGCTGATTGTTGACAGATATTCAGTGTTTGGAGATTAATAATTAACCTCTTGTTGTTTTATTTTATAATCAACTGTTAAATAATAAAGTAAAATATTTCTCTTCAGTTATTGTTAAAGTGATTTAACTTATGTTTTGAAATAATGTCAGAGAGTGAAAATCTCGTTGAAATTGAAGCAGATAGCAAGAAGCGAAAGAGGGGTGTTCGTTACCATGAAGAATATAAATTTAATCGAATTAAGAAAGCTAGATGTCGTGGTAAAGAATATCTAAATTACAGAGGAAATGTTGAACCACGCAAAACAGGATTACCATGCTCGTAAGTTACGTTTTATCTTATAACGTACTATTTTAGACAGGAAATAAGATGATAATTAGAAGTCAGTTTTAAAACCTTGCTTAGTTCCACAATAGTTACCTTTTTCAAATGTTGCAGATGCAGATTGAGATGTTTCGAGAAGTTATGTGAATAGGACGAAGTTGAAATTTTATGCAGAGGGGCAAACTTTGCAAACAAAAATGAGCAAGACCTTTTTTACCAGTCCTTAATAGAAGTAGGGCCCGTACGGAAGAAGAGGTCAAGATTAAAACAAAACACTTCCGAAGATGAAGCTGAAGATGTTTTTTTTAAGCCCAAACATTTTGTTCTATGCCCAAAAGTTCTTTTAAATTCTATGCCTTGCTTCGTGAGAAAAGGATCAACATCTGCAAAAAGGCTTTTTTAAGTCTGCACGGTATTGGTAAAAAAAGAGTAAGAAGACTGCAAGATCTTTTTGTAAAAGGTAAATCTCCTAGAGATTTAAGAGGCCAACAGAATAATTGGAGGACCCTTCCACATGATAATACGGATCTTGTAAAAGAACACATTCAGTCATTTCCACTGAAAACAAGTCACTATTCTTCTAATGAAATAGAATCTCTAGATGCTAAGCTGGACATAAAAAAAATGTTCAATTTGTTCCAAGAGAAATATAACGACTTAAACGTGAAGTATAGTTTTTACTACAAACTTTTCAAAGAACATTTCAATTATAGATTTGGAAGGCTTCAAATTGACACTTGTTGTGAATGTGAACTGCTCAATATTACAATAAAAAAATCCTCAGTTAAATGAAACAGCAAAACGAGTTGCAGTTGCGCAGCTACTTGTGCATAAGAGGCGTAGCAAAAAGTTTTATTCATCCCTTCGACAGACGAAAGAATCGATGTTTGATTGTATGGCAAACATATCGCTTCTCACAATTCCAGTGCAGGAAATATACTACCTTAGACAACTGTCCGTCTATCCGTTTGGCATACACTACAGTAATAATGACACTGCAACATTTTATTTATACCACCAGGGAGTTGCTGGAAAGGGAAGTAATGAAGTTTACTCTTTCTTGAAGAAGTATATTGACGAGAATGTTCCAGCTAATGTAGATGAATTGTACTTATCAATGACAACTGTACAGACAAAATAAAAATCATACGATGATTAGGTTTTTAATGTAACTTACAGATAGTGGAAGATTAAAAAAGTTGTCTATAGACTTCCAATAAGGGGTCACTCGTATTTACCATGTGACAGGGTCTTCGGCCTTGTAAAACGAAACCTAAGGAAACATGATAAATTCTACACTTTGAAAGATAAAACAGAAATAGTACTTTCATCTACAAAACAGAGAAAATTTACTGTGGATTTAGTGGAAAATGCAAATGTTTTGGACTTTCAAGTTAGTGGCCCAAATTTTACAAAAAAATACTGTTTTAGAAGAAAGTAAAATTGAGAAAAACAAAAAAAGGAAATGTTTACTATTTCTTCCTACCATGAATTTACTTGCGAAAGATTTAAAAAAGGAGTGGTTGTTGTATCTGATTTCATAGGTGGATTTATTAGCAAAACCTTCAAATTATTATCTAATCCACTGTCTATTGCTGAGCCATCCTCCCCTTCCTCATTAGCAAGAAAAACTCATGAATTAAAGGTACTAATTCATTAAGAAAAAATTAATGACCTGAAGAAACTTTTGCAGCTTGCCCAATGGCCTAGAGTTGCAACGAAAAAATGAGCCAAAATATAAAATAGCAATTAATTGTAGCTAATTGTATTGTCTTAGAACTGTTTTAATAAAGTAACATTAATTATAAATAAACACGGTGTAAATTCATCCACCAATCAAAACTTTTCCCGTAAAACAACACTTTTGTTTATGAAAGGCCTTTTGTCAGCTATTTTCAATAATAAAAAAAATATAATATTGATTTTAAAAAGTGTAACTAACATGATTTATTTTTGAGTTTTAAGGTTCTTAAAATGTTTCGAAAAATCAGAAAGTATAAAATCGTTTTTATAAAACTAAACAGTTTTTTCTTGTTTTCCAAAATTTACATTTTGTGACAAGAGGCCTTTCATAAATAAGCGATTCATATATTCAAGTGATAGGTTGTTGTCTGACTTTACTGTAGTTATAAAATGGAGAAATACAAAATACAAAAACTTACATGTATCATCCATTAACAAACTCCATTGCTACAAAACTTACAAAATTGCATGGAGGTTAACCTTTAAAAAAAAAAACAAATCAACATCAAAATTACTAAAACGAGCTGTCATAAATTAACATTAAATTTAAAAAAAAACTAAACACAAATTGACAGCTTTACTCAAAACCTAAAATTTACAATTTTAAATGTCAACGAAAGCAATTATTATTTTATAAAAAAAATGTCTGTCTTTAGTTTAAAATTTGAACAAAATGTTACCTTAATTCACATCATCACACTTAAGTTTCTGAAACCATAACTGGAACTGAGGGCTCCACTCTCTCTGCATCACGAAAACCTCCATCTCCAAACTGCCAAAAGCCTTGGATAAAAGCAGGAACAAAAAAAAACAAAACGAGGATGTCCTCCAATCCTAACTCAAAACATTAATAATTGAAGCATTTACTGCCACAAAACCAATAACAAACTGCTACATATTCTTCATAATAAAAGACGAAAACAGAACACTTTACAAATTCGACGTGAATTTGGACATAACGCTGAACCGCTCTTGAACGCGGCTCCAACGAGAGTAACGAAATTATCTATTAAAATTGATCGCATAACTTGAAAATAAACAAACACTTGACATAGCAAAATCAACGAAACGGCGTACATATCCTTTTGCGACGCATCAGCATGAAAAGAATTTGCCGAAGTAAAATAAACAACTCTCAAATGGTTTTATTACTCGGCGACGAAACCTTTTGGGTACTTTGAAAGATACGAACTAACAAACACGGGAGAATTCCTCGTTTTATTTTTTAAATATATATAAGTGAGTTTTTAATATATTTTATTATACGAGGAGGTTTCAATATACTCAAAAGAATCAGTGAAATTGAAAATGCTACAAGGTACGCCCTTTAATTCGATGAAGGAATATTGATTTTCCCATTTTCATTTGAACGTATGATTCTCTTCGACAATTTTACGATTTTTGGCACTACTCTGAATTTAACATTCAATTTATTCGCCATTGTTAATTCAACACGACACGTGCAGCTGACAAGCAAACTGCCCGCTCATCGGGAGTAGGTGTTCAAGGTTAACTCCTTTCTTAAGATTATGGAAAGTTAGACAGGGTTGGAACAGGTAAAAGTTATTAATGGTAATATTTTTGAAATGTGTTTGCGGGGGCCGCAGTTTAACGAGCCTCGGTCCGCATGCGGCCCGCGTGCCTGAGATTGGACTACACTGACTTAGTAGTTACTGTCAATCACAACTTTAACTTAAAAAATATTTTGTTTCTCTGTATATTTAAATTCATCAACTTTTGTAACAGTTAATTTTACAACCATCTAACAAATTATATTTTTGTTTTAGTGAACCATCCGTCGACACATCCATCCTCGGCGACGATGACCGGCGTTTTCCGAACGATATTGGAACGCGAAGGAGTGTGCGGATTGTACCGAGGCATTACACCAAATTTCATCAAAGTGATGCCCGCCGTCAGTATCAGCTA